CTGATATTTAGCGCGGCCACTCTCCTTCCCTCTCGTTGGCCAGTTGGTCTTCAGGCAGGATGGGTCTCTACCGCGTCCGCGTGTCCACAGGCTCCTCGCTGTGCGCGGGCTCCAACAACCAAGTGCAGCTGTCGCTGGTGGGCCAGCACGGGGAGGCGGAGCTCAAGAGGAGACTGCGGCCGGCGCGGGGCCTGGTGAGCGACAGGGCCGGGTGAGCGGCGGGGCCAGGTGAGCGACAGGGCCGGGTGAGCGGCGGGGCCAGGTGAGCGACAGGGCCGGGTGAGCGACAGGGCCGGGTGAGCGGCGGGGCCGGGACACCGCGGGGCCAGGTGAGCGGCGGGGCCGGGACACCGCGGGGCCAGGTGAGTGAAGGGGCCGGGTGAGCGGCGGGGCCAGGTGAGACCGGCCCCAAGTGGGCGCACGGTGCTCGCTCCCGCGCGGCCTCCTTGGACTTGACCGCCTGCTGGCCTCGCGTCGTGGCGCAGAGCTCGGCCTTTCCTCGAACAGGCCGTCCGCCCTCCCGCGTCCCCTAGTTTTAAAAGCTGCCGTGTCAAGCCTTCTGCGCCGTCGCTGGGTGTGGGCCCCGCGGGCTTTCCCCGGGCCCGGCCGGGATGCGGGCGCCGGCGAGGCGCCCAGAGACGGGAACACCGCGTTCCCCACCCACTTCCCCGCTCTCACCGCGTCTACCCGGCACTCGCCCCGGCTCCGACCCACCGGTCCTCACGGCCTGCCCGGCTCTCTCCAAGCCCCCCAGAAGCGGCGGTCTGTCCCACGGACGGGGCCTCCCCTCTTCTCAGCACCCCCTCCACCCCCACCCCGCACCCCTCCACTCCCAGCGGTTGCTTGCGCTTCCCTTTCTCCGCCCGTGACCGAGGGCGCACGCTGCCAGCTCTGTCTCCCGGACCTGTCCGGCCTCGGGCCCAGAGCTCCGCCCCAGCCCTGCCCACCAGGGCCCCCTTGGACCTGAGTCGCCTTAGCCCTCTCCTCCTCTCCCCTCGCCCCGGCCTGCCCTTCTGCAGCCCGAGCGGTTTCTCCCAAACATGACGCCCCTCAAACGTGCCTCCGCGCAGGACACGTGCGTGGCTTCCGTGTGTCCCCGGGACTCGCCCAGAGCCCGTGGATTACCTCCGGGACTGCACGAGGGCGGCGTGCCCGTCTCCCCGCAGCGCTGCCCTGCGCCCCAGCCCCACGACGCGGCTCGGCTGCCCCTGGCCGCGTCTCGCGGTCCCCCTGCCTGGCACACCTCTCCGCCTCTCCCTCTGCGCGGCCGGGCCGAGCGCTGTCCCCTGGAGGGGTCCCCAGTCGGCACGTCGTGCGGGAGGCCCGCCGGGGCCGCGGGCTGTCCGCTGCCGCCTGGGGGCGCTGGCGAGGGCGCCCCTGCCGCTCCGCACCGCGCGTCCCCGCGCCCGGGTGCGCGCCCTCGGGGTGACGACCGCGGGGAAGAAGCGAAGGAAAGAAGGGGTGCGCCTCCGCGTCTTCCCTCCTCCGCCTCACCCCGACCCACGTGGAGTCGTGGGGCCCCCCCGCTCCGTGCGCCCCCGTGTCTCTGGGGCTCCTTCGCAGAAGCCGCCAGAAGGGCGCAGGGCTCGGTCCCAGGGCCGCTCCCGGGGGCCCCGCAGGCGCTGAGCCGCCTGTGTCGCCGGCAGGAAGAGGCGTTCGAGGAGGACGTGCAGGAGTACCTGGGGCCGCTGCTCTTCGTGAAGCTGCGCAAGTGGCACTTCCTTCAGGACGACGCCTGGTTCTGCAACTGGGTGTCGGTGCAGGGCCCCGGGGCCGGCGGGCCCGAGTTCAAGTTCCCGTGCTACCGCTGGGTGGAGGGCACCGACGTGCTGGCCCTCGCCGAGGGCACCGGTGAGCCGGGGCTGGGGGTGTGAGGAGCCCTGGTCAGGGGTGGGGGGGACGAAGAAAGGGGGCAGAGCGCCGGGCGGGGGGTGCTGGCATCTGGAAATCGGGATTTGGGGGGGAGGTCGTGGAAGAGGCTGGTGGCGGAGCCGCACCTGCCGCGGGAAGCTGGGGGAGGGCGCCACTGGAGGGTCAGGGTCAGCGGGGGAGGGCCGGGTGGGGAGGCGCCCTTGGTGGGCAGGGGAGAGGCTCTCGGGACAAGCCTCACCGCCCACCCCCTCCCCACATGGAGGCCGCACGGTGGTAGACGACCCCCAGGGCTTGTTCAAGCAGCACCGGGAGCAGGAGCTGGCAGAGCGCAGGAAGCTGTATCGGTCAGCCCTCCTCCCGCAC